TATTGCCAGGACACATTAACGTCAACAGAAAAACTCATAAATATCTTCATTTTTAACACAATCAAAGAGTGGTACTTTTGTTTTGATCGCCAGTAGGCCTCTAAGGATAATATAGTCAGTTTCTGCATCGGTCAGCATCTGGTTGTATCAATTGTCCCAGTGTGTGTGTATTCCAACCTCTCTAAGAGACGAAGTTACTTCCTCGAACAGCTCATTGTTACCTCTGACTGAACGCTATCCCGGGGATATTAGAGTTTCTCAAAGAAGGAAAATAATTCATTGGGCGTGATTCTCCAAGTGCGTACCTCGTGTTTGTTGGGCTGGACACTGATTGCGTCACCGAGGTTGTTGGGCTGGACACTGATTGCGTCACCGAGGTTGTTGGGCTGGACACTGATTGCGTCACCGAGGTTGTTGGGCTGGACACTGATTGCGTCACCGAGGTTGTTGGGCTGGACACTGGACACTGATTGCGTCACCGAGGTTGTTGGGCTGGACACTGGACACTGATTACGTCACCGAGGTTGTTGGGCTGGACACTGGACACTGATTGCGTCACCGAGGTTGTTGGGCTGGACACTGATTGCGTCACCGAGGTTGTTGGGCTGGACACTGATTGCGTCACCGAGGTTGTTGGGTGGACACTGATTGCGTCACCGAGGTTGTTGGGCTGGACACTGGACACTGATTGCGTCACCGAGGTTGTTGGGTGGACACTGGACACTGATTGCGTCACCGAGGTTGGTTCTGGCTCAGTGAACACGAGCATAAACAATTGTGCAGTCTTGTAATACATGTAGTAATTGTAACCTCTTTGGTAGACTTGTAGTTTACGTCTTGCTTCCAAACGGTTCAGAGTTCAAGGTGGTGTTAGGGCGGGGTTTTTGGTGCTCAGAAATGTTTACGGTGTTTTTCCCCTTTTTGGATAAGATAAGGATCTATAGACTGACGTGAGCGTTTGCGTTTCTGCTCACGTGTGCGCGCGCGTGTTTGTCATCCAATGGTTTGTAAAGTTTAATCAAAGCCTTGTCAGCTACCTTTGTTTTGTGTCGTAACTTCTAGACAATTGGTATTAGAAATATTCTCTTTTCTACATTTCGACGACTGACAATAACTATAATTTTTACTATAAACCACTCCCTCCCCTTTTTGACTTCCTCAGAAGTTTCAGAATGAGCCCCTCTCGGTGTTTGGTGGATGGTGCTGTGTCCGCGTGTGTGTTGATTCTGATTGTGACGCCGCATAGGGTTTCTCCTGCGGCAACAGAACAGGATTTTATTCGCCTCTATGACGACCTGCTAGGTGACTACAGGTAAACAATAATATATTCATTAATAAGCCAACTGCCCCCAGGTGAAATAAATGAAACAGAGATTCCCTGGCTCGACCTTTCTGAAAACGGATTTTCTTTTCACCTATTACAGTTCACTTGTTGTAGGCTTGCTTACACCTACGTTATAGAAATACATGTATACGCATGCATGTGGGAGTATGCGCGCAGACACACACATACACACACACACACACACACACACACACACACACACACACACACACACACGCGCGCGCGCGCGCGCGTGCGCGCGTGCTTAACAAACTAGCGCTCCATCAAGACATGGACATCTAATGGCGAATCATCAGGCTCGGCCTTTTCGTTTTGCAGGTGCAAGTCGCACAGATGAATCGGTCTTTTGTGTCTGTATTTTTACTTATTAATTTATTTTTTACTATTACTTTTACTTTCTTGATTTCAACGTTGACCATTAGGCCATCATGTGGACTTCGTAATAAATATTATTAAATAATAATTAGCAATGACCGTTTTTGTGTCTATAAAAAAGGTCGACCGTAACAAAGCATGTCCTTTCTTCTCTGTCTCTAGAGTGACAGGAAATAGTTGAAGACCACAGATCTAGGGGAAAGACTTATGATGTCCAGACCATAGCATGTTTCTTCAAATACCCACTGTGCAGTACAACGTTGACATGAACAACTTGAAGCCCGTCTAAAGAACCATAAAATTCAACAGCAGCACACAAATCATGATTACATATATGAAAGAAACAGGAAGTCTGTGGGTCTAAATTTTCAGGTAGAGTTAGTAAGAAACTTTGTCAACACCAGGTTTTCCCATTTTCCCCGTGTAGTCTTCAGTTTTGATAGAGCTCAGATTGAAATTTTAAAATGAAAAAAATTAGTTCTACAGTTTCTCAATTTAGTGGGTGGTTGGCAGGTTGCTCTGGGGGTGTGGCATCCTTCTTTCCAATAAAACATATACCGTCCTTATCTCTCCTCCTTCGTGTCTTTATATTACTTGTTACTTATCCAGGGCAACTACGACGTCATTGCACTCCGGACATTTCCATAGGTGCTCGTGTTCCTCTTGGCACTAAAGCCCGCAAGGTATCCATTCTAACTCAACTGTTCCCGTGGCTGTTTGATTATGACGACGTCTTTCCTTTCCAGATAATCGTTCTTTTCTTCCTTCTCCTCTCTCTATCCCCATGTCCCGCATCCTAATGATTACGTGGTTTTCTGCTGTCTCCCTGTCTTCCTCATCCCGCAACTTTTCCTCCAGGGTCTTCAACACTTCTCTTTGTCAAATTTCACCTCACCATCAACCACGGCACTGCCTTCCAGCCTAACAGCCTCCTCATTGCCCTTCACTTCAGAGCGCCCAGGGCAGAATATCCACGTGACGGCTCTAGGTGATAAGTGTTGTATTGGGTTCATCCATTCACTCCGAAGCAGCCCTTTCTCAACCCTTGGCAGGATGCTCTGCGAGTCAGTGACAATAATGAGATGGGTAGAGCTTGGTCTTGTATTTTGAAGCCAGCCAAGCGCTCTCCATTTTCATGCTTGAAGTTGTTCTTTTTATGGCCACTGACACGCTATGAACCTGTTTGTTCCCACTGAACACCACAAAAACCCCACCCACTTCTCTCACCACTCCTGGCCGATCCGTCCGTGTAGATCACTGGGTCCTCTGGCTTAGAGAGCTCCTCAATTAACTATCGTATGTCATTGTCGTTAATGACAGCAGCAAATTCCCGTCTTTCACGACCCATAGTGATGTGGACTTTTTCAGCCTTCTGCAATCGGGGTTCAGTTCAAACCATTTCTTTCCACGGCATGTTTCATCAATGCCACAAACTTTCCTCAAGAAGTCTTCAGCTTCTGCCATCCATGAGCTGCCCCGTTTGATCCTATTTCCTTTAATGCTGCTTAGGTTGTCATACAAAGGGTGCCTCGGGTCTTCCAAAACATTCAAGTACAGCTTTGCCTGTGCCACCTTATACCTCACTTTGATGCTGGCCAGGTCTAGGAGTACATGTATCTCATACAGACAACATGGGTGTCCTTTGTGTAACCCAAGACTGCCCTCATAGCTGCATTCTGTACTCTCTCCAACCTGTCTATCTGAGTCTTGGACAGGGACAGGATGCCCAGACCATAGTCTATGACTGACAGAACCACCAGCTGCATTAGGAGAAAAATAACTCTCTATTGAATTCCCACTGAAGCCAAGGTCTTCACTACATTAATGCCCTTCGGAGCCCTGACAGAAACTTTGTCAATATGTTTTCGGAAAGAAAGTGTCCTGTCCAGAGTGATTCCCAGGTACTTCAGCTCATGCTGTCTGTCTATGGGAAAGTAGTCAAACACATTTGGAGGGGTAGGATCTTTCACAATACGGTTGTTGAGTGAGCACCAGATGACCTGTGCTTTTTCTGGATTGTCGTCCTGTAGCATCCACCCAACCGCTAGCCTATCACGACCTTGTCCGTAGACCATCACATCATCTGCAAATGTGAGGATTCTTCCTGCTCCACTTACACCGATCCTGGCAATTTTGGATGTATATATTATGTTGAACAGAACCTGTGATAAGGCTGATCCTTATGGCAGTCCTGAGGCAATCACTACTGGGTCTGACATCCATCGCCCACTTCTCAGCGCCACCTTCCTCTCAAACAGAACCTCGGAGATCCGTTGTACCAACCAGGGGTCCACATCCATTTCCATCAGGAGATCCAAGAGCTTGCTAAAATCGACTCGGTTGTAAGCACCCTCTAGGTTTACAACAACCATCACTGTCTCCTCCTTCCTCTGGAACTCTTCAAATACATCAAAGGCCAACACAGCCGTGTTTGTGCAGGTGTCTTTCCCTGGTCTGTGGCTTCCATGGCCGTCTGGAAGGAGCTTTTTCCTCTCTAGGTAATTTCCCAGCCTTTTGGCCACAATCTTTTCCAGGATCTTCCCATACGTGTTCTGCGCGGTGATGATTCTGTATCCCTTGATGTTGGAGTGGTCTTTGCCTGGTTTAGTGAGAGACATGAGGTAGCTGTGTAGCCACTCCTCTGGGATCTTGCCTTTGTCCAGACTCTCGTTGAAGTCCTCCACCATGCCCTGTAGATCTTCATCTGCATCCTTAAAATGGCTGTATCTCTCCCCATCAGGCCCTGCTGCACTATCCTTCCTTCCGCTTATTACCCGCTTCACTTCCTGTATTGTGACACCCTCTCCATACAGCACCTCTGGCACAGCAGTCTTCATAATTGCCCCGATGTTAGCACGCTCCTCCATGTTGCCTTGGTGAGTCTGCTTGATGTACCTCTCAAGGAAAGCCCGGCCTTTTGCTTCTTCTGTCTCCAGTAGCCTATCGTTCTCATCTTTAACATACAGGGAGCCAACATCAGTCTTGAATCCCTTTATTTTTCTGTGCAATTTCCAGAACCTGTGTAGTTCCTTCTCCGAAGAAACCCCAGCCACGTACTGCTCCCACCGTTCCTGTTTGGCTTTCCTCGAAAAGCTGCCCGTCTCTTTTCACCTGCTCTGTCTTTATTTGTCACTCTCTAGTAACACCTGCAACACTTCTAGTCTCTGACTTTGACGCTTATATGACGAGCTGTTTGTGACACGAAACTCTAACTGAAACTTCATCTTCTCCGTCCCACCACAGAAAGCACGTGAGACCCATAGCCAACCAATCGGACGCCATGAATGTGTCCCTGGCCTTCAACTTGTTCACAGTTTTGGAGATGGATGACCTGAAGCAAAAACTCGCGATTGAGGTGATCGTGCATCTTAAATGGTACGTGTGACGTCATTTTACCAGATGCCATCATTAATCGTTTTGTTTCTTCTGATACTTCTTTACAGCAGCCCGTACCTTTAACTCGTCGAGGACATGCATTCTGCAACAGTGCTTGAAGACGTGCAGGTTTGGTGTGTTTAGAAAAAAAAAGAATAACTTCGTTATTCGTACAGATTTTTCGACTGTTTCCTTTAACTGAAATGTGTCCAAATATTCGGAGTAACATGCTAACAAGCAATCCACTTAAGTCCATTTTGGGTACTTTTTACAACAGGGACACACAAAAATAGTTTCTGTAGTTGTATTGTTCCTGTCATGAATCATGAAAAGCAATAAATTTGTAAGGCTTGACCATAGCATTAAACTGTATTTTGGTGATGTTGATCTTTGATAGAGCCTTGGGGGGCG